ATGTTGAAGGGTATTTAGCAGCATCCCTGGCCTCTACCTACTAAATGTCAGCAGCACCCTCACTTTGAGTTGTAACAACTGACAATGACTCAAGACTTTCCCTAATGTGTCTCATGCAGTCACAAAGACTGAAAGCCAGTGGTGTTATTGATAGGATTCTGTGATTTGGTTCTCACTTCCTCTAATCGTATTCCAAACCAAAATAAAAACCAAACCCACTCATAGCAACCCTGTAGGACAGGGTAGAAGTACTTCATTGGGTTTCTGAGGCTGTGAATCTTTACAGAAACAGACTGCCTCATCTTTCAGCCGAGGAGCAGCTGGTGAGTTTAAATTGCCTACCACTGGGGAGTTCTGGTGTACTGCTATAGATAGGATAAGCACTCGACCATAAGGCCAGTTCAAATTGCAAGACTGGCGATTCAAACTTGCCCCCCACTACTTGGAAACCCTATACAGGGTCTCTGAGTCAGAGCCAACTTGACAGCACTTTTGGTTAGCAGCCCAATGCTTAACCTGCTGTGCCACCAGGGCTCCTCTAATTGCACTGCTGTTAAGTCTCAGAGAGTAGGTTCCATCTCATAGTGACCCTACAGTTAGCAGTCTAGGGTTTATCCTACAGAGCTGTACCAGTACTCTACTGCATTGTTGCTGTTGTTAGGTGCCACTGAGTCGGTACCGATTCATAGTGACCCTATGCACAGCAGAACGAAACACTGCCCAATCCTGGGCCAACCTCACTTTCATTGCCACACTTGAGTCCATCAATCTTGCCACTTGGCCAATCCATCTCACTGGGGTCTTCTTTTTTTTCTCTGACTTCTCTGACCCTCCACCTTACCAAACTTGATGCATTAGGTCAGTAAAATTCCTTTTAAAGACAACTGAGACAGGAATTATTTTGGGTCTGGTCTTTGTAGGAGCTTGGAACAAGTTTCCAGGAACCCTGGTGGCACAGTGGTTAAGAACTCAGCTGCTAACCCAGAGGTCAGCAGTTCAAACCCAGCAATCCCTTAAAGATAAAAGTATGTCAGTCTGCTACTGCAAACATTTCGAGCCTTGGAAACCCTATTGTTATTAAGTACCATCTGGAATAGTTCTCCTCTATCCTAAAGCATCATTGTGACTCAGAATCGACTCGATGGCAGTGGGTTTGATTTGGTCTTAGAGAGCAGCTTTCCACCATGAGTTAATATAAAGTGAGCAAGGTGTTTACTTTGGAAGCCATAGTGCTCCTTGGAGGCCAGGATGGCCAAACTTTGTCTGTCATACTTTGGACATATTGTCAGGAGGGACCAGTCCCTAGAGAAGGATATCATGTTTGGTAAGGTGGAGGGTCAGAGAAAAAGAGGAAGACCCCCAACGAGATGGATTAGCCAAGTGGCAGAATTGATGGACTTAAGTGTGGCAACAGTAGTAAGGTTTGCCCAGGATTGGGCAGTGTTTCATTCTGCTGTGCATAAGGTCGCTATGGGTCGGTACCGACTCAATGGCACCTAACAACAACAACAATGAAGCAACACCAGCAAGAATGATGAAATTTCTTCCATAAATCCTGCCCTGGAGATAGTTTACATTTCCTATTGGAAACATGTTAAAATCATGTCCATTTACTGAAATTTGGAGAGCGTCCTGGACACGGTATACTTGAAGTTCATCCCAAATGATTTTGTGTGTCCATGTGTTCCAGATTTGGTGATCTCACACTCCAGCAGCGGGCGGCTCATTTCCAAACATTTCTCAGGAACTGACCTTTGATTCTATAAGTGTTTATTACAATATGGAAGGCACGAGGTAGCTTTAGAGCAGTCTGAAGCTTGCTCCTCTGACCCACCCTGTCCAGCAGAGAAGAAGTGCCGCCCAGAGTCTGTGTCAAGATAATTTAGAAAAAACAGCTGAAGCCTCTTACTGTACCTTGCCAGCTGTGCCTTCCCCAGTGAATACATGTAATTACACATGATGTCATGTATATCTTATTTACTTCTTTGGTCCCAAATGGACTGCTTTTCAAAGTTTGGGCAGGGGTATCATAGCCTGTTCTGGCCCCTATCGGCCTGACATGGTATTGCAGTCCAACGTGGTATGGTGTAGCCAACTTAGTTTATATTTCTAAATTGTGTACTTCCTAAATGTATCGATAAATTCAAAATGGCAGAGCACACTGCCAATAAAAGCCTGGAAGAAGAATGGAGAGAAAAAGAAGGAATGAAAGAGAAATATAATGGGCTAGAATCCTCTAAGGAGTGCAACAGGTATCATTCACTCTCAGGTACTAACCTGAGAGTGAGCGAAGAAGGATGGAGGTTCTAGTCTACCCATAGGCAACTCAGAAGAAAGGCCTGGTGATCTACATCCAAAACACCAGCCATTGAAAACCCTGTGGAGTACAATTCTAATCTGGCACACGTGGGTCGCCATGAATCGGAATTGGCCCAGCAGCAACTGGCTTGGTTTAGGGTTTTTTGTTGCGGTTTTATTTTGCCATGTATGAGGCATCAGCAGTGTAGCTGTGATGGAAATGGACAAGGCCCTGCTCTCCTGGAACATACAGCCGTTTGGGCTCTGAGATAAGTGAGCAGGCCATTTTAACGTGGTGTGATAGGGGCCTTAGTGAGGGAAATGAAGGTGCCATGGGATCACTTAGGAAGAGCATTAACCCTGCCAGGGGCTCAGGGTCAGAGGACTCACAGATGGCTTTTCAGCGGGAATGGGGCATGAGGGTCTGTTGTCTATCAAACAAGAGAGGGAAGAGTGTTCAAGGCCCTGTTCCAAGACCTGAGTGAGTGAAAAAAAATGGACCCTTTCAGTAACTGAAATGCTCAGAATATTTAGACCCTAGCGTGTGAAATGGGAAGAGTGAGAAGTAAACAAAGAAAAGCAAATAAGGATGTGTCCCAGGCTTCTGACTTGAGTAACTGGGTAGTTGTTGGTGCCATTTACTGAAATGAGGAGCCCAGGAGAAGTAGGTTTGGAGGAGGATGAGGTGGCAAAGACTCAAGTTCTTAATCCATTGCTAATTCTAGATCCTGGGAGCAATCTTTTTCAGTGTTTCTGAAAATGGCAAAAGCAAATGGAAATTTGAAAAGTTAATTAGCAGCTTTATGCTGAGGCTGTATGTACAACCAAACACTTCATGGGACTTAGAGTCTAAGTTTGAAGGTTTAGGGCAAAGGTTTTATCGGACATCCCAGTTAATTGGCCTTATAACTTATTTGGTGCTTCTTATACCTCCTAATTAGTGGGGTCTTAAAAGCTTGCAGGAGTCTCTGTATGGTGCTGTGGGTTAATGCACTGGACTGCAAAGTCGGTTTGAACTGCAAGGTCGGTGGTTCAAGCTCACCAGCTGCTCCTTGGAATCCCTATACAGGGTCGCTATGGGTCAGAACTTTACAACTACAGTAACAACAAAAGTTTGTGAGTGGCCAGCCAACACACAGTTATTGGTCTCTATTTGCTGGGTGCAACCAGGAAGGGGAGGAAGAAATGGGATGTGTAACTAACTGCCTCCGCTTCCTCCTTTCTCATGAGACCAGAAGAACTGGATGATGCCCAGCTACCATTACAGAACAATCTGATCAAAGATTCTGTAGAAGAGTCCTGATCCAAAGCGGGGAATTCAGAACAGAATTTGAATTCTCAAGACTTTCTGGAGCCATGGAGGTTGGATAAGCCCCTAAACCTATTGCCTTGAGACAATCTTTAAACCTTAAACCAAAAATACCCACTGAAGTCTTCTGAAAATCAAACAAGTTTATTGTTGTTGTTACTGTTGTTGAGGTGCTGTCAAGTCAGTTTCTGAGGAGCGGCTAATGGATTTGAATACCGATATTGGGATTCAAATGAACCTTGTGGTCCAGTGTTTTGTCCTACAGTGCCACACCAGGACTCCATATAAAAAAAGGTCTCCATAAAGCATTACTGTCTTTCTATGAGTCGGTACCGACTCGATGGCACCATATGGGAGGAACAACAACCTATGGGAACAAATTGACTATTACAGGATTAGACAGGAGCCTTAGGGGGCCGTAAGTTTATGTCATTGGAGGAGGAACAATCCAGAAACAGAGGGTGAGAATGCTGCCAGAGCTCAAAGTGTAATCCGTGGCACTGACTTGTACACATAGAACTGGTGCTTTGGCGTATGCTCTCAACAACACAAAATACACTTTAAGTTGTTGTTGTTAAACGCCATTGAGTCAGTTCCGACTCCTAGCAAACCCCATGTAGGGTTTCCAAGGAACGGGTGGTGAGTATGAACCGCCCACCTTGTGATTCACACCGACCGTGCCGTCCAGTGCTTTATCCCACAGCTCCACACCAGGACTGCTTTGTAAAGTTAGCAGCGATAAATACTTTCGTTACTCTAGGCTATCGTGACGAGCTGCAAGGATACTGAGACCTCTTCTTATTACCGTGCCTGTTGTTATGTGCTGTTAAGTTGGTTCTGATTCATAGCCATCCTGTATAGGGTTTCCAATGAGCGGCTGATAGGTTTGAACTGCTGACCTGAGGTTAGCAGTCCAGTGCTTATTCAGTAGCTATTTAATTTTTATTCTTCTTATTGATAAAAATGTACGTAATTTGTGTGGGCACCCTGAAGTCTGTGTCTGACTTGTCCAGCACATTTGCACCCTCTTCCTCAGAATCCTTTACCATGTTGGAAGTTTTTATTCAAATGCGAAGAAGTATTTGGGGTTGTCTTCAGCAGGTGTATGGTATTATAGAGTTTTAAGAGTTCTAGGCCTCATTTGAGGTAAATTGCTGCATGGTGATGGTGAACATTTACTCTGATGATCTCATTTTCTAAAGTATGGGAAGCAAATGTGATTGTCCAGTATAAAGAGGACAGAGATTCCCCCACCCATCACCCGAAGCCTCTGCTTTTGCTCACTCCCCTTGTAGGCCTGAAATACCCAAGGGTGAGCTCTATGTTCTTCAGTGGTGAAGTAATTCAGCAACAAGAGCATTCAAGTTGACGGGCTTCCTTTTTGTCTTGACAGGAACTTAGATAATGGGCTGTGTGCAATGTAAGGATAAAGAAGCAACCAAACTGACAGAGGAGCGGGATGGCAGCCTGAACCAGAGCTCTGGGTACCGCTATGGCACAGACCCCACCCCCCAGCACTACCCCAGCTTCGGAGTGACCTCCATCCCAAACTACAACAACTTCCACGCAGCAGGGGGCCAAGGACTCACTGTCTTTGGGGGGGTGAACTCTTCGTCTCATACTGGGACCTTGCGTACAAGAGGAGGAACAGGTAAGCCCCTGTGGTGGTGGAGGGCGGAAAGCAAATGGGGGGCAGCTGCTTTTAATTTTTTTATCAATTGAACATTTGTGTTCCAGTCAGCTGCCCTTGACTAAGGAATTTGCATTATGGTTTCTGATTAGTTTCTCCTTTAACAACAATAGCATTCCCTAGTAGATGTCTGTTGTTAGCAGCAGTTAAATCAGCTCCTGACTTAGGCAATTCCATGCACATTGGACCATACAAATCAGTTCTGCACTGTCCCGATGATTTGTTATGACTGGGACCATTGTGAGCCGTAAGGTTTTCAGTGGCTGATTTTCAGAAGTAGATAGCCAGGCCTTTCTTCCTTGTCTTAGTTTGGAAACTCTGCTGAAACTTGTTCGGCATCATAGCAACACACACACCTCTACTAACAGGTGGTGCTTGTTAGTTGGGAATTGAACCAAAGTGTCCCACATTGTTGTTGCCAGGTGCCATCGAGTCGGAACCGACTCATAGCGACCCCATGCACAGCAGAATGAAACAATGTCCGATCCTGGGCCAACCTCAC